TGAAATTCTTCACTTTTTGGCGCTGGTAGCACTATTCCTGTGCTACTAGCGTGGACGATTTGGCTTTTGCTTTCTCTTGTTCTTGTGATTTGATCTCTTTTCATGCAATTTTACCTACAAAACACAATATTATTCACGAGGGCAAGCCTGAGCATGGATTATCAATCTTTATTATGATTATGGATATTTATAGCTCAATTTAGATTAAATCCTTACTATGTTAAGCCTTGAAAACATTATATGCTGGAGGCTTTTGATATATTTTTTTTAATTTCTATTAAATTATTTCTTTAAAAATTAAAGTGTCATTATATTAATTTCGTAAATATTATCAGGAAAAATATATTGTGACAACCAAGTTGTGTTACTACCAAGTGATTACCAATTAATCTTACCGTTAGATCGATTATGTTGATCCAACGGTTATATTTATTTCCATATTTGTATGGTCATGGTTTCTCAAATTTAATACTTTATATTTATTTTCACCTTTGTATGGTTATGATTTCCCATATTTAATGCTTTCACTTTAAATATGGAAAATCATAACCATACAAAGATGGAAATAAATATAACCGTTGGATCAACATAATCGATCTAACAGTGAGATTAATTGGTAGTCACTTGGTAGTAACACAACTTGGTTGTCACAATATCCTTCCCCATATTATCAAATCATTTTTTCAAAGATATAAAATTGTCATCAATTTTTTTTTTTTTTATTTGCATCAGGGTATCCCCACAGCCAGTAGCCATGGGACTAATCTCGCCCCAGGTCAGCGCACAAAGCGGTAAAGGACTGGCCACAGGATGTTTTCCATTCAGAAGAATTGGGGATCGAACCCCCAACCAGTTGCTTAAGGAAAGAGATGCTGAATCATCACGCCCACCCATCGAGGTTTCATCAAATTCTTTTACAGGAGAATTAAGTGGTGATATAAAATGATAAATTTGGTCTCAATTATATATATTTAAAGAACTAATTTGATCTCTACCAAAAATAAAACAACTGATTTGATAAAAAAAACTAATAAAATAACAAATTAATTTAATAAATTAATTTTTTTTTGGTAAACAAATTAATTTTTAATACTATAATCTTTGAATCATTAATTTAAAGATTAATTTATTGTAAAGAAATTATTGGTACATGAGGGCTGTAAGTAAATAATTCCATAAATTTTACGGTTTTATGGGAATCTCCAATAATTACTGTGTCCTTTTATAATTAAAGTCAATATTACAGTGGAGCCCGCACGTCCTTCTACGTGTCTTTGTCGGCTGCTTTTATAGCATTCTTGACAACAGAAAATTCTAAACAGCAAAGGAATGGTAAATTAAAAACAAAACAAATCCTAAACAACTTTTATTTTTATTTTTACAAAAGAAAACACATAAATATATGGCACAACCCTGCAATTTTTGTCAGGATAATATTTACATCTTGAAATATATTATCTTATATATTTTTATAATGCTAGTTTTTTAATTATTTATAAACATGAAGATTTTTTACATGTGTAAGGAATTATATATATTAAATGTAAGGGCTTTATATTGGAACAGTAACCAAAGTGTCATTTTTTTGGCAAATTTTTTATCTAAATATCATGCAAATAATACTTTTTACCAGACTGTCATGCGACGTAATTCGCTACGACAGGTAGCGAACTTCGTCGCCTATGATTTCGTGACACGTGACCACATTGCGTACCAAATTCGCTACTACTAGTAGTCAACTTCATCTAGTCAGCTTTTTTCTACGAAAATGTGTCACGTGTCACAAAATTATTGACGAATGTAATTCGCTACCAGTCATAGAATTACGTCATGTGACAATCTGATAATAAATAATATTCACGTGACATTTGAGTAACTTTTTTTTTTTTATCAAAAAGTGATATTTTGGTCGATGTTCCCTCTATACTTCTCTAGCCAACGGAGAAGAGCCTTGTTTCCTGTTGAGACAAATGCTGTAGGTCTCATATTTTATTTTTTTAAAAATAAAATAAAAAGAATGATACACTGTTCATGTAAGGATAACAGGAGAAGTTACATTTTCTGTAACATTAAAAGTTTTAGGGTTCATTTAATCTTATGTCATATGAAAGAAAATATCTTATGTTGTAGAGAAACATGTGGTGGGATCCACTACTTACAAAAAAAGGAAAAAACAAAAAGGAGTGTCACAATCTCAATGGGTCTACATGAGATAAACTACTCTTATGTTGCATAAGAGTAGTTTTTCCCAAAGTTTTATACCCTAAATTTAATATAATAACTTGCGAGATTAATCGTCAGGTGGTTGCTTGAATGGTTGTCCTTGCATGTGTTGCGATAAAATAAGCGGTGCTAGTTCCAGCAAAGATTTTAATCCTCAATATTCACAACAATTGAAGTAACATAAAAGGAAAAGGATCCATACTTAAATGTGTGAATATATAATTAATAATGAAGCATATTATTCTAAAGTATATATCGTACATGTAAGAAGTGACCGTTTATGGTGAACAGGGGTGAAAAAAATTAAATAAACTGAATTAATTGTAAATTGTATTAAAAATTATTTTTTAATGAATTTAAGAATTAAATATTTTCTTCGAACTAGTTCAAGAATTAAATATTTTTCTGATTACCAAAAGTAAAATAAAATATTTTTCTAATAGTGATACAGTTTAATAATTAAATCACTTTAGTAATCTGATTCGGTTTGGAGTAAAAATTGAACCAAACCAAAATGCATCACATTTTTTTTTGAATTGGTTCGATTGATCCAAACCGAATCACTTTTTTGGTTTGGTTCAATTAACTGTGAATATCTCTAACTATGGATAAAGAAAACAGATCCTCTCATATTTTATTTGATATGATATGATTATGTGGAGGAATCATAACTGTGACTATTCCTAACTATGGACAAGGGAAATGGATCCCCAACCCTGATTCACCTTTGCATGTTTATAAGACATGAAAAAATTCATTCCCATGGATAAGTTATTATGTGGGAGACAAATAGATAGATGGTGAAAATAGCTGTTTGAAAGAATTAAAAAATATTGTAAATATAAACATTTTATCCTATCATGTAATAATAATGGGAGAAGAATTTCGGTAATCCCAGATTGTTATTAACTCAGTGATCCAGATCAATCAAAATCAAACAATTATTGTGAAGAGAGGAGAAATGAAAAAAAAAAGTTTATCCAAGTATTATCCCCCGAATGGAAGGACCACATGAAGCTTGGAGCACCAATTTTTTTTTTTTTGAGATATTCCAATCGATTCATTATTTTGTGATGGATCCCAATATTAAAATTTTAAATCGCGTCCAAAAAAGATATTGAAAAAGATCAAATATATATTCTCGTGTCCACCTCAACTGAGCTACCATTTGGTTGGAGCACCAAATAATGGGCACGCCAAGGCCGAAAGCACATGTCCGGCAATACGAAACTGATATAAATATTATGGGAGTTAGATTTGATATACAAAGTTCGTTGTTTTGCTAACTTGGTGGCTGTCTATCCCTACAACTCCCAGGCCCGAGGTTCATGCATACACAGTTTATACAGCTATAAGAACAGGAGCTCACAATAATTCACATGGATTAGTTTCTTTCTTTCCCTCCCTCTTTTTCTGAATAAGTTGGATAACTAATTAAGGTTTTTCTTTAATTTTTTTTTTTTTTTGCTTTAAGTGTTGGCCCACTTACAACCATCACCTGACTAAGCCCATGACCTACAATAAATCTAAATTTCAAAGAACTCTTTCTTAAAGCATAATAACCTCAAATTACAGGCATTTAAAAAAAAAAAAATCATTCATATTATATGCTTTAGAATAAGATAAAGAGATGCGATGACATTGTCCGAGGCTAACGCAAAAGATCAATTATGCTAGGTCATGATTCAGGACTAATATTATTATCAAACTAATAACAGCCACAAAAGGGTTTAATATTGACATGCAGAAGATATTTATGATTTACTATATAAAGGATGTTAGCAACTTAGCATTTCATACTAAAATTATTAAGAACTGGTTATATTTTTGTAAAACTCACATAAAAATACAACTTTGTTGTATGTTGTCACTTATTTGTTTCACAAAAAACTCTAATTCAAAATATTAATAACGGAATTAATAAAACAATAACCACTTAAACCGTATTCTCACTCATATGGTACACTACTATGTTGTACCGACATCGATACGGGACACGACATGATACTCCGACACGTTAGTTCTAAAAAATGTTAAATTTTGACATGTTAAGACACGTTTTAATATTATATAATGTTTTTAATTTATGTATTATATATTATATTTAATACTCAATAATTTAAAAAAAAATAAAACTAAACTTATAATACCCATCAATTTTACAAAGAAACATAAGATATCCCAAATATTTATACTAAATTCAATAAAATAGTAATCGTAATCCAACGAATTTAATAGTTGGAACTCAAAATATAACGCAACGTAACTTTCGAACCTTTTTTGAGTTTTTACGAGTATTAGAGTGTCGGTAAGTGTCGGAGGAGTGTCGATGAGTGTGTCGGAAGTGTCGGAGGAGTGTCGATGAGTGTGTCGGACAAGACACATCAAAATTTTTGAAGTATCGGTGATTCATAGGTACATTATGTAAAACTGCAGCTGTTATTATTTATATAACTTTTTCTAATTTTTCTAGAAACAGGGATATCTTAAAAATCAATCCAATCTAATGCAAAAGCAGCATAGGATTTGCGTAAATCCCACTTGATTGCTTCACCTTCCTCAGGGTTCTCTCTCTCTCTCATAACTTCAATCCTAAGTATGATTTATACCATCTTCTCTTTAAATCAACACAATTAGTTCTTGAGTTTTACCCTCTTCACTCAACAACATACATATAGTTTCCACCTCCTGAAAACGTTTCGATGACACAAGCACACGGGTAATATTTCACTATATAGAGGTAGAGGCAGTGACAGCTTCATAGTTCAGAGCCTTCGTCCATAATTAAGAAACATTGTCCTTTGTGTCCCTTTTTTCCCACATGGGTCGGCACTCCTGTTGTTTAAAGCAAAAACTAAGGAAAGGTTTATGGTCTCCTGAAGAAGATGAGAAGCTTTTCAATTACATAACCAGGTTTGGTGTTGGCTGCTGGAGTTCTGTTCCCAAACATGCTGGTAATACTTTATTAATTTCATTACTAACATGAACCAAATTCTCCTCATTTTCTTTTTCTTTTATCAATGAAGGAAAAAGAAAAACTCGCTTTATGAATTGCAGGGTTGCAAAGGTGTGGAAAGAGTTGCAGATTGAGATGGATAAACTATTTGAGGCCTGATTTGAAGAGAGGGATGTTCTCTCAACAGGAAGAGGATCTTATTATCAGTCTTCATGAAGTTCTTGGAAATAGGTAACACTCACATTGAAGAATGAAGTTGATAAAAAAAAAAAGGGGGGGGGGGGGGGGGTATATTTGTTAATGCTTCAAAGAGTTTTTGAAATGATTACTTTTTCAATTTTAGGTGGGCTCAAATTGCAGCACAGTTACCAGGAAGAACAGATAATGAGATAAAAAACTTCTGGAATTCATGTTTGAAGAAAAAGCTAATGAAACAAGGGATTGATCCAACTACACACAAGCCCCTCCTCATTACTGAAGCTCATATAAAGGAAGAGAAGGAAAACACAGAAACACCACTATCTCAAGGGATTTTAGCTACATCGACAACATTAAACACCTCAAAGGGTTCACCAATTCTAATGAATGATTCGAATTACTATGATGCTGGGCTAACTGTAACAGAAGCTTCAAGAGAAGTTTTCATGAGCAAGCCAGCATTGGATCCCTTGTCCTACTTTGAATTCCAAATGGGCGTTGCTCATTCTGGTTATGATTCAAGTGTGAGTCATTATCAACCAAGTCTTGGACAATTTGATCAGAACCAGTTGGCAACAGATTCAAGCTATGGATTCTCTTCAATGCCAACTCTAAATAGTTATGAGCAGAGGAACGTGTCGGTGACAGAATTTTCTGATAACAATTCAGCTTCCAAAATCAGTTCTTTGTTCATGAATGATCAAATGAAAGAAAGTTCCAGCAATAGCTCAACCATGAGTAGTATTTATCCAGCAACAACAGGGTGTCAAATGAGCAGTGTGACGGAAAATGCAGGGTTCTCATGGGACGGTGAGAACAAGTTGGATCCTTTGTTACAGTTTCAAATCAATGCCATAAAATCTGAAGAGTTCAAGACAAGTTCAATGGATTTCACTACCTATCCGTTAACGTCACTGTCAGAAGATCTAACAGGAGCAAATTTTGATGTATTCCAGCATATATGAACTGTAAATTCTTTTTTTTTTTTTTGTTAATTTTTTGAACTCTTTCTCTCCTTATTGAAATTTGAAACAAGTAGAAAACATAGGAAGATGTTGATAGTACAGAAAAATTTCTAGCAAAAGATTTGAATTGAGATGATCCCTCACCCCTTCCCCCTCCGCATATCTTTACTTTTCCTATTGATGTATCTTTTTTCATCAGCAAAAGTTTGAAAGATGATTATTGCAAATATAAGAGTGAATCTAATTTTTTTGTGGTCCTAATCTTTCCACATATATATTTATATATATCCAACTCTAACTAATTATTACGAGCAGTCATAATGCTTATATATATAAGCATTTTTTTTTATTTCTCCTTTTCCCTCTGTCTTACTCCTCCTCCTCCTCTTCTTCTTCTTATTTTTGTTTTTAAAAAATAAAATAAAATCAATTATGGTCCTTTTCGGGCATACCTCTTGCTGTCTTCCACATAAGCTGGTCAAAGACTCAAATAATTAAATGTGACAAAGGGTGCTTGCTATATCGTTATTTGCAGCGATGCAGACATTTAGAACTCATTGGGAATAATCTATGGTCAGGGATAAGATTTCACCTGAGTGGAAATTAATGTGTGAAAAACCTTGTGGTCTTAAAAAAAAAAAAAAAAAAAAAAAAAAACCGGTTCGGATTAAATAAAACAAGTTCTTTGAACCAAACCGTTGAGGAAAATGGGTCAAACCATACTCAGCCCTTAGCCCATGTGTTTCTCTATATATACACATATACACGTCATTGTTTAGGTACACATGTATACAAAACATGAATGGTGTGTTTAGATACACACGTATATAAAACAAGAATGGTGGGCTTTAGTGTAGATAACAAGATTTTCCGCGCCTATTGTATTATGAGCGCTATATATACTGTTCTGCTGGCATATGATCCAGGTGCAGGGTCCAGGCACCACCATGCATTTGTGAATCCCTCCAAAAGGTTAAAATTGGTTGCCCAAGAATCGCATTATTGGAGAGAGATACCATTGCTAATGAAGGTCTAGTTGTAGGGTCTTCTCTTCTTATATACGGTTCAATAAAGATGTCCAAAGTTGTGTCTGTTTTAAAGTCTTCTTTAATTTTTTTTCTGTCAGCACGGGCTGCCCCAATACACAGCGCAGCAGTCCGCAGTGCCATAACTTCATGCTTATATATGGACATATCACTTGCATGGAGATTAATAATATAAATATGTGTACCGTCTTAGCTTTTCTGGTTTCTGACAATTTTGAGAAATTATATTTGGGAGAGAACGTGATTGTGCATTTTAATTATTGCAGATTAATTTGCTTGACCTGTTCATTTTCCTGGCTATCTAAATGAACTGATAAGAGGATGAACGTATGGATCTGTTCACATGAGGGGGAAGTATGTTAGACAAGAGAAACAGTGATATAGACCAAATTAAAAAGTCACCGTATTGGCTTCAGACTAGTTGAGGGTGAATGGGGGAGATGATTCTGAGCTCAGTTATGACTTGGTGAGTGATTTCAACATAGTAACCTCAAATGTGAGCAATAGGAGAAGATGGAGAAGTGAGAAGACAAGTTGGAAATTCAAAGTATGATACCATAATTAACCTTAGTGGCGGACTCAAGAAATTTTTTTTATGTGTACACATTTAAGACTGTCCCCGAAGATTTTTTATTAAAGAAAATGTTCTCAGGACATTATATATGTGATTTTAAATCCCGATATAAATATATGATTTTACGATTTTTTTTTAATCAAAACAATTTCATAAAAATTCCAAACATTTTTACGATTTTTTTTTTACGTTAGGACTTTACGTTTTATGATTTTTTTATCCTCCTTCCGATTTTAGGTAAGATCCTGATTTTAACTACCATGGTTGGGCCTATGTTTACTTTTTTCTTTTCAATCTTCCTAAATCTTTTTTTTTTACTTGACCTAAATCACCCACCTCTTTGGAAAAAAAAAAATTCTCAAATTTTTGTGTCTGCATATGCAGACACAGGCAAGAGCGTTAGTCTGCCTCTGATTAGCCCCTATGGGCCTCACAAGGTGCGAGTGCGAGGCTACATGACATTTGATGTGTAAAAGGTCATGGGTGCATAGAAGGTGTGAGAAGATATATGTGTTAAGTGATGATCGCCTTGCTATATGAATTGGCTCGACAAAGATAAATAATTTTAAGGAAAATGAACACAAGGACACCATTTATGTCTCTATCTCTCTATAGCACCCGCAGTAGTGTTGGCGGGGAGGGGTTAAGATGGACAATTGTCCTCCTCAATTTCATTAAATTTTTGCCTTAAATTATACTCAAACTTAAATTAAAGGTAATATAACATAAATTTATCCCCTTTCATTCTTATTATTCTTCATATATAAAGAAAATTTGAAAAATCCTTCTATCTATGTATCGACTCACTATCATGTCTTTATCCTAATATCTGTTGAGAACTCGGTTCTCTCAGATCAGCTTAGCAGCCTTTTCGCGGAAGTCAATCAACAAGATCCTGGATCTCGGATCTCGGCAATTACCTCGGCTTGAACTTCACCAGGTCAGGCAGCGCAGTGGAAAATCAAAACGCAAACAAGGAGAGAGAGAGAGAGAGAACACAAACAGTTTTAACGTGGAAAAATCTTCTCCAATGAAGAAGTAAAAACCCACGGGACCTAGTCCAGTTCAAAAATCCACTATGAAAATAATGGTTACAAATAATCAAATTCTCCAATGCGGTGGTTAACTCAACCTTTCCAACAATGGTGATACTCAAACCTCCCTAGAGATGTTTCACTCAAACTCTCTAGAGATCTCTCAAATACAAAGTATAAAGCTTTGCTCAAATCTTTCAAATAATTTTCTCTCAAATTTCTAATCTCTCTCTTAACCTAGCCTCCACCCACAACTAATGAATATATAGAGGAGATGAGATCTAGGGTTTAGGGTTTTTAGGAAATCCCTCAATGGGCTTGGGCTTAGCATTGAAGGAGGAAGCCCAACAAATCTCCCCCTCCGACTTCAATGCGTCGGCTTCAGCATCAACCCGGCTTCTTCATAGAAGTCTTCAAATTTTCTTGTTGGAACCGGCTTCGTCATCATGTCATACCAATTTTGATCAGTGTGCACTTTGACGAGTTCGAGCTCTCCACCTTCCACCACATCTCGGATCCAGTGATACCTCACATCAATATGCTTAGTGCGGGAGTGATAGGTCGAATTCTTCGCAAGATGGATTGCGCTTTGATTGTCACAACCCAGCTTCTACTTGTCTTGATCATGGCCGAGTTCCATGAGGAACTTCTTTATCCAACACATCTCTTTGCTTACCTCAGTAGCGGCAATGTACTCAGCCTCAGTTGTCGATAATGCAACACATTTCTGAAGTCTTGATTGCCAAGAGACAGCTCCTCCGGCAAATCTCATCATGTAACTCGTCGTCGATTTCCTCGAGTCGGAATCTCCCCCTAAATCAGAATCTGAGTAGCCTTGCAACTCGGCTTTGCCTTCTCCAAATCAGAGGCATAAATTGGTCGTACCTCGAAGGTACTTGAAGATCCACTTCACTGCTTCCCAGTGCTCTTTGCTGGGGTTTGACAGATACCGGCTTACCATTCCAACAGCATACACCAAGTCGGGTCTAGTGCAAACCATTGCGTACATCAAGCTTCCGACGGCGGATTGGTACGGGATCTTAGCATCTCATCTTTGTCTTCATCATATCTCGAACATTGCTTCTGGTTCAGCTTTATGTGTCCGGCTAAGGGGGTGCTCACTGTTTTGGCTTTGTCTATGCTGAATCTCTTCAGAATCTTCTCTATATACTTCTATTGACTCAGCCGCAGTAGCTTCTTTTGTCTATCTCGGATAATCTTGATTCCGAGAATCTGCTTTGCAGGGCTGAGGTCCTTCATTGCGAAGGATGAGCTCAATGCCTTCTTCAGGGCGACTATCCTCGATTTGTCTTTCCTACAATAAGCATGTCGTCAACATATAACAACAAAATCAAAAAATCTCCGGCCTCATACCTCTTCACAAATACGCAGTGGTCAGCTTCTGTCTTCTCAAACTTGTGATTAGTCATGAATGACTCAAACTTCTTGTACCACTGCCGAGGTGCTTGCTTCAATCCATAGAGGCTCTTCTTCAACCGACATACCAAGTCTTCTTGGTCTGGAGCTCGGAACCCCTCAGGTTGCTCCATATATATCTCTTCTTCTAAATCACCGTGAAGAAATACCGTCTTCACGTCCATTTGTTCTACCTCAAGGTCCATCGAAGCCGCCATTGCTAACACGGTTCGGACCGAGGTCATTTTCACCACAGGAGAAAAGATCTCCTCAAAGTATACTCATTTCTTCTGGTTGCAGTCTTTCACTACAATTCGGGCTTTGTATCTCGGCTTCTGCCCGTTCTATTCATTCTTAATCTTGTATACCCGTTTATTTTTCAGAGCTCGTCTTCCTTCTGGCAACTCGGTCAGCTCATAAGTCTGATTCTCGTGCAAAGACTTCATCTCATCTTGCATTTCCTTTTCCTATTCTTCTTTCTCTGAGCTCGTCACAGCCTCATCATAACTCTGAGGCTCACCGTCTTCAGCAACAACAGTGTATCATCAGATGGGTATCTTGTATAGGGTCTTCTTTCTCGAGTTGGATATCTCAGCTCTTCTTCACCTTGAGAACCCGGTTCTTCATTCTCATCCCGGATCTCAACATCAACTCAGACCTCAGTGTCTTGGTCATCATCAGCTTGTTGCTGGTCATCAATTTCTTCATTCTCTTGATTTTCTCCCCCTGCTTCAGCTTGGATATGAGGGATGGATTCTTCACGTCTGACAGTAACCTGGACTTTGGGCTTCGAGATGTCATGAATAGTCTCATCTTCATAAAAAATCACATCTCGGCTTCTCACTATCTTCTTATTGATTGGATCCCAAATCGGAACCCGAACTCACATCTCGGCGAACCAAGATAGATGCATTTTTTGTCTTTGCATCG